TCCTGAGAAGCAGCTGGTGGTTTTGAACTGCTAACCTTTGGTTGGTAGCCTAACGTGTAACCACTATGGCACCAGGGCTCCTCTTTTCAAGTAATGGGAACTACAAAATGCGCAGAATTAAAAGAGTTCATGTAAATCTATAGATTAATTCTAATAAAGTGATGTCATTTAAGACACGATAATGCTGGAGACCCAAAGCCTATCTATAGACAAGTGGAGATCCCCTCACAGAAAGGTCACAAGGAAGGGACGAGTCAGCCAGGGTGCAGCACAGCACCGACAAAACACAGAACATTCCTCTAGTTCTTTAATGCTTCCCCGCACCCCACTATCATGACCCCAGTTTTACCTTACAAATCCAGCTAGACTGGAGCACGTACACTGGTACAGATAAGAGCTCTTGACACATGGAATCCAGGACAGATAAACCCCTCGGGTACAGTAATGGGGGTAGCAATACCATAAAGGTAGGGGGAAGGTGAGGGGAGAAGGGGGAGTAAGGGGGAACTGATGACAATGATAGATGTAATACCACCACCACCCCTGATCCTTAAAGGGGACAAACAACAGCAGAAACATGGGTGAGGGGAGACAGCAGGCGGTATAAGATATGAAAATAATATTAATTTATAATTTATCTAGAGTTCATGGGGCGTGGGGACAAGAGTTGATACCAAGGGCTCAAGTAGAAAGAAAGTGTTTTGAAAATGATGATGGCAACATATGTGCAAATATGCATGATACAGTTAATGTATAGATTGTTATAAGAGCTGTAAGAGACACCAGTAAAATAATTTATTTAAAAAATGATAATGCATCCATAAGTGATCAAGTATTTATTATTGTATCACTTCAATTACTTTTTTTAATTGAATCATTTTATTTGGGACTCGTACAACTCATCAAAATCCATGTATCCATCCATTGTGTCAAGCACATATGTACATCTGTTGCCATCATCATTCTCAAAACATTTGCTTTCCACTCCAATTACTTTCATAATACCTGATTTACTTTTTCTTCTTCCCATTTTACAGCTAAATTTAAAAACACACCTGAACTATTTTACAAAGTAAACTATAAAAATAATTCAGTGTGAGAAACTTTAAAAATGTGGCCGTAATATTTAAGCAGGAGATAACCATAGAATGTCTTTAATGGCAATTTTCCCTCAAGTATTTAATGCAGATGCCTAGTGGCACCATCGGGAAAACTTTGGACTGTTAACCACAGAGTTGGTGTCTCAAACCCACTAGTCACTCCAAAGGACAAAGATGAGGTTCTCTGCTCCAGTAAAGTTTTACAGTCTTGGAAACCCTATATGGGGTGATTATAAGTCTTTTGGGATCTTGAATGTATATTCCAAACCAACTGCTTTTAAGCCAATTCCAAGTCACAGCATCCTTTGGACAGAGTAGAACTGCCTCATAGAGTGTCCATGGCTGTAAATCTTTAAAAACAGATAGCCACATCTTCTTCCTGTGAAGTGGCAGGGGGGTTCGAACCACCAACCTTTTTGTTAGCAGCCAAGTGCTTTAATCACTACACCAGCTGGGGTCTTTTTTTTAATGTGCATAAGAAGATGTCAAAAACTTCATAGGAAAATATAATTAAAATATAATTAATCTATGAACTTTGCAGAAACTCCTTGTATTATTTAAATTTCTTGCCAAATTTTAACCAACTTTTATACTTGTATTTTTTATCAAAGTCTAAGCTATTCAGTATTCATATCCTTAGTATAGCTGTACCTTCTTTCCTATACAATGCTGAGATAATCTAGAATTTTAGACCCCACTCCCCAACCCCAACCAAAAAAACCCCCTAAAAGCAGCATCCAAATTCACTGCATGGGGTCAAGTGATGGGGAAGATGGGGGATGAAGTGTGTTGCATGAGGCAAGGACATGAATTTGAGGGAGCCAGAGAGTGAAGTGCTAAGGGTTGAGTTGTGTCCCCTGCTCCAACATCTCTTGCTTTGGCGCGGCCATGATTTCCTATGGTTTGGCAGTTATGTGATGTTGTAGTTTGTTCATATCTGTTTGTTATAGCCATTTACTGTGTTATATTTGTTATAGCATCACTAGATAACTGTCTTTCCTTAACCCCCAAATACTTTTATTGGGGGTTCTTACATCTCTTATCCCAATCCATACATTCATCCAGTGTGTCAAACACATTTTCTGCCTCATCATTTTCAAAGCATTCTCTTCCCACTTGAGCCCCTGATATCAGCTCCCCATTTCTTCCTACTCCCTCCTCCGGCCGCCATCCCTCACAAACCCTTGATAAGTTATAGATTATTATTTACATATCTTACAATTGTCCTCCATCGCCCTTCACCCCCTTTTCATTATTCGTCCCCCTGGGAGGAGGTTGTAGATTGATCCTTGTAAGCCATTCCCCCTTTTCTCCCCCCACCCTCCTCTAATACTCCTGGTGTCTCTAATCTTCTCGTTGTTGCCACTGAGGGGTTTATCTATCCTGGATTCCCTGTGTTGCTGACTCTTATCTGTAGCAGTGTGCATGCTGTAGTCTAATCTGATTTATAAGGTAGAATCGAGGTCATGATAGTCGGGGGAAGGAAGCACCAAAGAACTAGAGGAAAGTTGTGTGTTTCATTGGTGCTACACTGCACCCTAGCTGGCTTCTCTCTTCCCTGTGACTCCTCTGTGAGAAGATGTCCAATTGTCTACAGATGGGCATTGAGTCTCCACTCCATGGGTGCCACCCCCCTACCCCCACCCCGCATTCACATTAGGTATGATTTTGTTCTGGGTTGTAGATGCCTGATACCTGATCCCATCAAAAGACCATCTCTTTTTAAGAATACAATTTTCAACATATATATTGAAAGTGAAGTTATTACTGTTTGTATATTCTTAAAACCTGACAATTTAGTTTGTAGGAATGTGTTTATATCTGTATATAATTAGGTTCACTACAGCATAATTTGCAATAATGAATAATTAGTGATAACATAATTTTTAGCAACTAATTAAATAATTTATAGTATATTTGTGTTATAGAATGCCAAAAAAAAAGAATGCCAGTAAGCTTATAGGAAAGATGTATCCAGAAATACAATTAGAAATGATTTATATTTTAAATGTTTTGTGTTGAACTCTGGATATCTAGATAGTGATTTTCAAGGTAATATTATCAGCCATCTCATGCTTTTTTGTGACTCTTTGAGTTTTAAATTTGATCATTTAAATTTTCTAACTGATTTTTTAAACAGAAATGGTCAGAGAAAGTTCAAGTATGCTAGCTACTTCCATTGACTAGACCATTTAAGGATTTTTTTGAATACCGTCCAAAGGCTAGCTGTTAAGTTATTTTATGTGTCCTGATGACGTCATTTCTCAGATCAGGTCCTCAGGTTGTGTCATGTCACCATCCGAAGTGAGAGATTTCAGGTCATCACGATCGTTCTCAGTTCATTTCCCCACATGTAGCAGTTGCTGTCCAGCGCCGTGTCACTCGTGGTTTCCCCAGGAGTTTGCGGTTAGAATGGTCCCCATAGCTCTCAATCGCTGGGTGTTTAGAAGCAGGTCCCCAGGCCTTTCCCCCAGGCACCTCAGGGTGGACTCAGACACCTAACCCTCCGGCTAGTAACCAAGCGTGTAACTGTTTGTTCCACCTCGAGACTGCACCCCACATGCGCTATTTGGTAAATGTTACCTTCTAATTAAAATATCACAAATTCTAAACCTCAGTGCAAAATTGTAAATAGTGAACACAGAATTTTTAACTGAGTCTCTAGAAGGAATCTTGGGGGTGACACTGGGAAGACGACTGGAAATATAAGACAGAAATTATGGCTTAGTAGTTGCATAGAAATGGCCACTTGACCACATAGGTTCATCTTCTTTGGTAAACTTGAGATGCTAGCCCTCATTTTTTCAGGTATGGGTAGGTAATACTTGTCATTTGTGTTAGTCTGGGTAGACCAGAGAAATAAATCCAGAGACAGTCATATGTATATAAGAGAGAGTTTTATATCAAAGAGTAATTCTATATTAAAAAGAATCCCAACCCAGTTCAGAACAAGTCTGTAAGTCCACATATCCGATATCAGTCTGTAAATTCCTCTTCAGACTCATGCAACACACGCAATGATGCAGAATGCAGGAAGATCACAGGCCTGTGGGTGAAAAGTCTTGTGGATCCAGTGGCAGTGGAAGCATTTCTAGGGCTCTGGCTGCCATCAGTGTGACTCCATGTGGCTTGTCATTAGGATTGTGTAGCAGAGAGAGTGTGTGTCCCGTCTCCAGGGAGGAAGACCGGAATTCCCAAAATCCTCATGAGAAGACCATGCCCACACAGAGCATCATTAGCTATGACCTAATTGACAGGCTAGACTCTACCCCTTCGCACAAGTTGACAGATTATGTAACTGCCACACCATTGTCACTACCTAAGGGACTTTTTTGTTTTGATCTATACTGTTAACTTTCCATCTTCCACTTAGCAATATGCGCACGTTATGATTTATCCTCAACATCACCCATCCACCAATAATTCTCTCACCATTCAAATTAGTGTTCCAAAAAGGTTGAACAAATGTTTTCCCAAAGGCTGTATAATACTTGGAGGAGTATTGAAGAGGAGAATCTAATTCAAGCTATTATTTCACTAAAATTAGGATCCTATAAGGAATACCCAAAGAAACAATGACTCTTCTTAGGTTCCCTGCCGTTTTGTGCTGGCTGTGTCTCTTCATCCCCTGCCAGTAGGTGTGTGGGCGGACAGAGAGCGAGTTGGCTCTGTGGAAAGACTGTGCACTGCAGAAGACCCATCTCTGAGGCTTCGCGGGTTCTAGTCCTGGCTCCACAGGCACTTGCCTGGGGCCTCTGGTTCGTCATCCATAAAATGAATGATTCAGATGAGATGATCCATGAGATCCTTCTCAGATAAAAACACACTAATGAACAACAACAAACCCCCTAAACATGGGTGGTGATAAAGCTTATGCTGACTGCTCATTTTGTCTTTCAGTTTGTACCTGTTCAAACTGGGAATCGCACCCCAGATCCAGGATTTGCTGGGCAAAGTAGACTTCACAGGTACTGCTCATTATGTATTTACAACTGCTTTATACGCGTATTAAGAAAATTCACCAGGTATTTGTGGGGCCCCTCTCTCCTCATCTTGAAAGAAGAGGAGGAAATGTACTTATACTTAATTGCGTTCCCTTCCCCCACGTTTGAGAAATGAGAAACTGAAGCTGGTTTCTTCTGAAAGCTCTTGTTCCTCAATGGCCCCGCCTTCTCATGCAGGCATTTCTGGGCGCGAATATCATCACTCTCATCTCCACCTCTGTCTGTGGTTTTCTTTGAGATTCATACTGTTTTCGGTTTTTGCTTGCAGAGGAAGAAATCAGTAATATGCGAAAGGAACTTGAGAAATATGGAATACAGATGCCATCTTTCAGCAAAATAGGAGGTATTCTGGCCAATGAACTGTCCGTGGATGAAGCTGCTTGTAAGTCTGTTTAAAACCCAAACTTATGAAACTGTTTGCTCGGATAATTAATTTTTTTAAACAATTCCAAGCTTGCCTTTCTCTTGAGACTCGCCTAGACTTTAGATGTTGCTTTTGGTGA